CTGAACGAGACGGAGAGTACTTATTCTACGTGTGCTGCGATATTAACTTGTTTATTGATATTGCGTACGAAAATTCGAATATCTAAAGTTTGTGTTTTGTATCTTATCGTATCTTGTATTTTAGAGTATCTTTGGGAAGTAAACATTTATATCACGTTGTCAATAACTGTGTATGTTTTTAGAACAAAATTACAAAATTGATTTTTATATTGAGGAAATTCGGGACATCTAAATAAAGTTATCTGTTGTAATTTTCGAGCAATTCTGAAATGAATTGAAACAAAGATATTTCGTACGCAATAAGCATTGTTTCTTTTTTTCTCTATTTATTTTCGTAATGAAAGTATACTGGAAAATATAACATTGTGCTACGATTTTCGGATCTTGCAGTATATTTTACTGACCTGTAGAAACGCATCCCGATGTCATGCAGATGTCGTTGCATTCCGAGTTTTTCTCCACGGTATGAATGCTCTTTGGCATATTCGAGCCGCTTAACGCCTCGGCTGTGGATGGTAGCATCTCTGCATTAACGGGTTCTGTTTTCATGCGGATGCAGATGCAGGTGCGGGTGCGAGAAAAAACAAGTGCATAATAGCGATGAATTAGTGAGTGTGAAGCGTAAGCTCTACGATAAAATCTCAAGTGCATACACATAGAAAACTTTACGAAAAAAGAAGTTTGGTTGGATTAACCAAATTTCCAGTGAAATATAAAAGAAACAGAAATTTCAGTTGAATTTGCCAGAGTTCTGTCCAAGTTAACAAGATTTCTGGTTAACTTGAATAGGACTCTGGTAAATCCAGTCGGGATTTTCTGGTCCGTTCATATTTTATCAAAAATTTTGTTAATTCAACCAAACGTTGTCTTCGTGTTTAATAGTATCTCTCATTCAAGTGATCATTACGCTGTGTTTACACTGAGAGAAAAAATGGTTGACCTAAAGTTGACCTATAATTATTTTTGGCTCCAACCATATTTGGAGCTTGGTTGTTCTAAGACGAAAATGTGATAATAAAGTAGTAGTAATATAAAGTAGTAGTAATAATAAGTAGTAGTAATATAAAGTATACTATGAATATACTACCTACTACTGTACTACTACTATAGTAGTAGATAGTATAATGTAAATATTTATGTAGTAGCAGGTGGTGGTAATAAAACATATAAAATTAATATCGCTAACATTATAGTAGAATTTACTGAAAAAATTTTCTTGGCCATAATTTATAATCTATGTGATTATTCTCTATGTGATTATTCTCTATGTGATTATAGTTACAACCACCAAATTTCTCTCTCAGCGTATATTTCTGTGTTCAGTCTTTCAATTTCTCTGAAACATGATCTATCAAGATCCAATCTCGTTCGTTTATTTTATGCTAATTCAACGTTAACAATAAAATTGGGAGTTTCCCCGTTCGCGGCTCTGACTAATTGACTCGAATGTATTCGCGTGAGCGCCGTGCCGTCGTGTTTCATCCATTATTACTCATCACCGGTTTGCACACGTAATCACCACGTGTTCTCGTGGCGAAAGGCAACGTCTACGTCGAACCACTGAGCGTTGCTTTCATATCGCCTGGTTTCTTTTAGAGATTTCCTGAAAATATCTCGGGTGCGTCAGACGATCGATGTTTTTGCGTAACGTCACTCCAACCCGCGATCGCGGGGTATTCGCGACGGGGGTGCGGGCATTGTAAACCGGTGAGAATTGACGTGTAACCGTCTGTCGCTCCGTTGTAAACACTAAAGTGCGTGGCGGGTGAGTAATTCTCAAAACGTTTGTTCAGTAAGAATACCCAAGTGCGTCAGATTCGCCTTGTTCGTTGACGTCACTTCGACCTATACGTCATGACTTTGTCGCTACTTATTTAGGCCTGTCCTGCCTTCTCTTTCAATCTGCTCAAAATATCTCGTTTCTGAACAAAAGGCTAGTTTTTCTGGTAAGCTGAGCTTTTCAGTTGATCTTGCGAAATTTTTTAACCGCGTTGCAAGTGATAACTTCAATTTTTTTGTCTTTAAAAATGATCTCCGACTAACTCTTTGGAACACAGTGATTTCACTATGAGATCAACTATTAAAACTAAATCATAGTTTTAGTGTTACTCGTAATATTCGCTTCAGTTTGCGTTTATTTCGTAAAAATAGAAAATAAGAAAAAATTAATTAAAAAAAAAAGATCTATTGAGTTGTTATTCTAGACATGTTATGTGACATGAATATTTTATTAGAATCCGAATTTTGAAAGTCCTTCAAAGGATTAATAGCTCTGCGACGTTTCCTCACGCGGACGAAACTTCATACAATCTTAGATTTGAAATGAAAAGTAAACCTACATGATTATATATACTGCGTTTTAAAAGGTTAGAGGCAAATATAAATTAACAAATTTTTTCTGTTCCTTACACTTTTGTAAAGTTTAATTGCCGCGAATAAAGGCGACAGACACAGGACGTGTCCATAATCAAGTAATAGTGTTTCCCGCAATTCGATCGAATTATTTTCCTAGCGTCTCCGTAATGCTTTCTTTCTTCTAACGAGTGCTTGATGGAGCGCTTTAATGCGAAATGTACACACGGCATCTCCGTATGAGTGAAGTTTACGATAATATTGCATTGCAATACCGCGCCTCTCTCTTTCGTACAATTAAAAGTTTTTACGACACGGGCGCATACCGTTAGCGAATGGCTTTGATCGTAAACGTAATCGCCGCTTGTCGTATGGATCGTTTAGAGAAAAAGAGAAAAGAACGCGAATTCTGCCTCTCCCCGCGATATCGAAGAAAAACACCGCATATCGGCGAGATGATCTCCGGCGATACGTCTATAACGGTAATTAAACTCTATGCTTATTAAAAGCGTGTGATTTAAATTCAATTAAAGTCCCCGTTCAAATCCGAGTTAAAAGGCGAGTTAACGAGCCCCTCTTTAGTATATCTTTTATTACGTATTTTATTCCTCCCGCAAAAACTTTCTCGTAAATAAACAAACCGTTAGGTGCCAATAAAAGAATACATAGTGCGACAGGCGATCATAGTAAAATTCAACTTCTGGTTGTTTGAATAAGTTAGAAGTTATCGTTCGGCAAGTTTTATCGTAAACGTTTTTATTATCAGTAGTTTGTCATTTGTGATAAATGTCTCCAATTTTATGTTAACGCGCACACGTGGAGAACTTGTTCATGTCATGGACTAAAATTACAACTAGTTGTGTTAGATAGGTTGACTTTATATTTTTTGCAATAAAGCCACCTATCGTAGAAGTTATTAGAGATCCGCAATTACTATGCACTCGCGCGAACCATGACTTGTCGGCAACTACTGTCGAACTATTAACGATTAATGTACGATTGAGCAACATTAAATAATAAATATAATCGGTATGCAGACAATAATCGATACTAAGATAATAAAGACACGCAATAGATAAAGTCGTCGTTATAATTTTTCGTATCAGAAAATAAGATTCTTTTGTCGCAGTACGGGACAGATACACATCTGTTGTGGATAGGTGCGTGATATTTCGCTACAAGTGCGTATGTTAGGATCTACGAATTATGCATACTGAGAAAATCTGAGAAAATAAGATGCTCTTTTTTCTGAAAAAAATTTGAACATCGGAAAATGTCACGAAGAAAAGCATAAGTCATTCTTTTTTCTATCAAGGAAATAAGACTCGTCTATAAACGAAGCATGAAAAAGGAGGATTAAAAAAAATATATTAATTCGTGTGCGCAAATAGTGCTATTACAGCAAAAAGCTCTCGCGTGTAACAAGTGCAAACGCAACTCGCATTCAACTACTCTCTCTTTTCTCATGTCACTTCCGACTTATTTTGTTGAAAGTGCAAAAGCACCATTTCCAACCTCTCTGAATAACGTTTAAAACGAGATCAAAGTCCCGGCAATTTGCCTAAATCTACACATACACGTTATGTGTTTTCGAGTTTAGTGCAAAGTTCCGAAAGAGGAGAAGGCGAGTGTTGCTTTTGTATATGCTAGACAATGCAGTGCACTTGCAATATGTATGGTACGATTGCGTGTTGCTCGCTGCAAAAGGCGAATGCTCTTACCAGCCGTAGACTTAGTGTTGCATGTCGTGTTGGCCGCCAAAATTCCGAGTGCCACCGCTAAAGCGACACATAAGAGGAACCCGGAAACCGCTATCACCGTTAATCCGCGTTCCAAACCGGACCGCCTCTTCCACCATGTCGGGTTTCTGCAAAGGAATGGCAAAATAAAAGCAACGACATTATTAAAATCGAAGAGCTCTCGTTAAAAAGAAAAGTGCGCCTGTTGAAACAGGTCTTTTTATGAATATTAATATGCGAACATAAATAAAAATTAAGACAGAATGATTACGTACGTTCCACTCTGTCACATTTTTTTGCGACTACAGAGAAGACAATAATGTCTTTATTCACTATAAATTTAACTAAATAAAGAAACTAAAATAAAGAAATTACTGTCTTTAATTCTTGTCTTAAAAACGATAAAAAGACACGATAAAGAAATTATTGTCTTAAAGACAATAATTTCTTTATCGTGTGTGTGTGTATTGAGAAAAAAATACTTAAAAATTTATTATGGGATATAAGATTTATATTTCTGTGAAGTGTTTATTTCTGCGAAATATTCATTACTGTGAATAAACTTTAAATATCCCACAGATAAATTTTTAAATTTTTTTTCTTAAAGTAATGAAGTATTACACTGAGAAAAAAATATTTGAATGTTTATTTGTAGGATATAAAATTTACATTTCTGTAAAATAACATTTATTTCTGCAAAATTAAGTTTATTATTGTCAATAAACTGTAAATATCTCATAGAGAGATAAATTTTCAAGTATTTTTTTCTCTATTTTTTTCTCTAAAGTATATAATACTTTATAGTACCTAAACATCAAGCTAAGGTTTGCTTGCTTCTCGTGTTTCATAGACCTGTCTAACGAGTTTCTAATTTAACAATAATTACGTAATTATCTGAGCGTTACTTCATGGAGGTCTGGGGTCGCATACGCGTTATATCTTCATTACTTGTTTAAACAGCATGATTTATAAAACATGCATTTTCTTTGACCGTAAAAGTCTTGCCTTACAGCAATTATGCTAATCACGCTCGCACGATGTTTGCGAGTTCGGCCTCGTGTGAAACGACGTCAGTCATTCATGCATGTTCTATGCATAAATAAAATATATGCTGCCGCATGTGCCAGATTACACTGCACTTCGTAGCATTTCATAGATATCATGCGATATATTTCTATATGATCGGCTGTAGTAAAATAAATAAACTCTTGTCGATTACGTAATATAAACGGACACGCCGTAAAAGCAACTAATTGCTGTTATTTACGAATTACGAGGTGTCTCGCGTGCAGCCTCATTGCGTGACATCTCTCTGCATCTTTGATGGTGAAACCGACCGGCCAATCGCGCATTATTACATCGCGAAATATCGCTATGGAGTTATCGGTTGCAGTAAAACGTCACTTCGGTCCAAAGCACATTGTGCACGTTTGTGCCGCGATGCCATTAGCGAGCATCGGAATTTATGGGTCGCTTTTCCACGCTCGCGCGGGAATTGCCAGCTTCCACGGCGAACAATTCGCGGCGAAGCGAAAGGCAAACCGTTGTACTTTTATCTTCATTCCAACCATGCGCGCCATTTCTACGTTTTATTTTTATGGTCATCTCACGAGATCACGGCGCATTAAATCCTTCGCGTGATCGGTTTGCGAGACCTTACCGTTGGGACGTTGAAGAGCGCGCACAGATACCGGGTGTACGCGAAACTCTTTCAGCATCGGCTACATTCAGCAGAGAAAGTTGCTTTGCAACTGTCGTAAAATTCGTAAATCTGACTGGGGTATGCTCTTAATCTTGGCTGAATCTAAAAGTATATATCAATTAGATTTACGAATTTTACAACAGTTGCAAGACAGCTTTCTCTGCTGAACGCAACCATTCTCTCTTTCTTTCTCTTACTCGTTTATTCGACGAAGAATCGTTGTTGCAATTCGGTACATGCGATGGGATGAATTAGTTTTTTTTTTTATGTAACACTGTTAGTACACGGTAAAAAAAAAAAACGTATTTGTTGAAATCGACTCGTGCAGAAATTTTCGTGTTAAATTTTTAACACAGCAGCTTGTGTCGATTTAACATATCGTCGTTGTTATTTTGACTATTCCGTGTCGAGTTCATATTCGCCGTTTCTGAGTGTTAAAATAACACAGCATGTATTACATTTTGTATTAATTTTTGGTATATAATTTCTGCTAGATATGTTTACATACTTGTCTTGTGTCAAATTAACGCAAAAATTAGATTGGGACACATGTAATGTATTAAACTCAACACAGAATTTTTTACTGTGCAATATGGCATTATGTGGTTGTGGTGAGTTCAATAAATAATTTCAGACTCAGCCGATAAATCCCTGTTTTTTTCCTCACGAATTCGCAATGCAACACGTCACGTAATATGTAAGCGTAACCGGTGATGTAATGGCGATTAATTAGAACTGATTCATCGCGGTCATCGAAAAAAACCGCGTGCAATACACCGACAGGTCGCTGATTGAGAAACCGCCGTCGCTGAGAGAAGGAATGTTCATGTCTCTTGTCATCGAGTCAAAATAGTTGGACGTGTTTCAGAGGAGAAATGTTTAATATCCGACGAACGGCTTTGACCGTCATGTCGTCTCGTTTGTTTCGCGACGAGTGACATGCGTGCGCACGTAAATCTGAGTGCAGGTACTTAGGCTGATAGAGAGCGTATAATAGAACTCATAGTCCGTAATGCAACGGGTGTATTGACCTCATCGGGACGCAACGACACGCCGAGACATCCTCTATCGCGTAATATCGGAGTCAACGCCCTGTATCGTCCGCATTCGATGCGCGGCCTTGACCCCGGCGGCATGAATGAATTTCATGCCTCTCACGAGGAACAACAAGTTGACGATATAGGCGTGAGAAAAGTCGAAAATCCTCCTGATATCGTGCCAGGTGTACTCACGCGCGATTACTTGGAAATGCTGTGCGCGCGATTACAACATAGTTTTCTCCCAAACATCGTGAGCAAGTTATTATCATAAAATAATTCCTCGTTTTAATGTAATTCTTACATTGTGAGGGAAAACATACTGAAGGAAAAAAAATATTTATTCGGCGTGGGTATACTAATAATACTCTGTAAGAAATTTGTGTTAAATTCAACACGAAATTCACACGTCCCAATTTTTCTGCTCTAATTTTTGTGTCAATGTAACACAAGGCGTAACAAATATGTGAGCGAATAAGGTAAATAAATATGTCGAAATTAACACTTGGAAACTGTTGTGTTATGTTGTGTGTTATGTTGTGTTTTAACACTGAAAGAAATCTTTTAAATCTTTTAAATATTTCTTCTACAGTGTATACGAAACTATCCAACGTTAAAAATGTCGACGACATCGTTAGAGCGAGAGAACGTCGAGAAGGGTGATATTTTGTTGTCGTTTCGTCGTCGATGTTTTCCGTGAGCCGTGTTATTACAGATTTGTGCCGGGGGGATTGGTCGTTACGAAAATAATTCGCGAACACCACCGTAACCTTTCCGGCGAACACACACCGCGCTGAAAATATTACGGCGACATGGCGAAAGGTCGCGGAAGAGGGCTAACCGCCCGATTTTGCGGTATTTACCCTCGAGGTAAATCGACGAGAGATTGCGGCCCATGTATTTGTCGCGTCACTAACCAGGTAATCAAGCCACACCATCGGATCACGATGGATTGATCGGTGAAGCGGTTAGTGTGCGCAATTAACGTGTGAGATCGCGTTAATAGTGTTGGAAAGCTGTGTTTCGATGGCGAAGTTTACAATTTCTTTCGTGCAATCGCATTTTTGCTCTTGTTATGAAAGAGAGAACTGTCTCACCAGCTTGGAACAACTCGAAAACATATGTGACGAAATGACACGAAGGACGTGAGCTGCTTTCGCGTTTGGAAGAAGCCGCGAAAATAACGAGTGATTAAATATAACATCGAGTCGATAACGTGTATAAGTAGAATAAATCGTCATTTTCGACGAGCACTCGTTCGGGCTCGACGACAAGCTCGTTGTTGATATGCAGATGATAAATCCGCGTCGCGCCGTGTGTTCTATCAAATCGGCAAGTCCGAATTTACGTATTTACGGGTCGGTTAATTCCGGTTTCGATAACCTCGCGAGGTAAACGCGATAATGGCCGAATGAAGTGCGGACGGTACATTATGACGACGTGTGGTATAATCGGTTCCTTAGACACGCGGCCACGCGAATTCTCGCGAATGACGTCGTCGCGTGAAGCTCTCGCATGTGTAAATGAGCGTTACTTTTAGCGAGATAACACGACTAATCCATCTTGAAGCCTTCGTGCGTGCGTTATCCACACGAGAGGCAAGCGTTCATTCTTCGCGTTTACGTAAGCTTTTTTTTCGATTCGACTCGCGGAGTTCTCGATTTGTCTCAACTCACGGAGTTCTTTTAGAGTTCGGCACGATTATAAATCGCCGTATTTATCTTGCGTAATTCGCAGCTATCGTATCCGGGTTGTCAAAAGATTCTCCGTCATCAGCTAATATTACAGCTAAAAAAGATCTAACCCCATCCTTAGTGGAATCCTCTTATGCAACAATTTTTTAAAATGAAATAAAAACTATTCTCCCAAGTCGAAATTTTTATCTCACTTTTAGCTTCAATTCCAATCAACATCTGTTTTGACACTAAAGAAAAACATCTGTTTTGACATGAAAAGGAAAATTTCGGACATCATCAGAGTCAAAGTAGGAGTAAATTGTATCATTAGAATTAAACTACTTTGCTAACTTAGTTGCTACTATGCGTTGTTGAATTCAAAGTACATAGGATCAAAATTTTGACCAAAAGAGAAATGTGAAATCGACAATCTACTAAATGCTGTTTTAATTTCTTATTATTCTTTCCTTTGAATCAAGAGGAATATGCTTGAAGCAGAAAGTTTTTTTCCCAAAAAAATATTCTTATTAAGAACAAGATACGTATCGATGAAAGACGAAATTCCTTCAACTTTCAGAATATTGCGTTTAGAATATTTCCCTTTTAGTTTTAGAAGTCCGTATATAAGAAGATTCTATTAAAGATAAAATTATATTTTTTTAGTGCGATTATATATACTTGACAGTATATCACGTGTCTGGATTTTTATGAAA